CTGTTGTAGAATGAGGCTGACATCAGGGTGGGGGTAAGACTGAGAAAAAAATGGATGAATTATGTTTACTGCATTGAAGTCTATGGGGGAGAGAATAGTTTAAAAGTATTATATTTTAGGGCATTATGTTTATCAAAGGAGTACGTAATGAGGGTTGCAGAGTGGATTATATTTGGGGTTGGGTTTGGGGGATGTGCTGGGGGTATTGTGTACCAATGAGGGAGTTTTTCTTTTGCTTTTCAAGGAGAGGAGCAAACGGTGGGGGGGGGGAGCGGGGAGAAAGGTGCAACAATGAATGAATGGAATTCCAAAATCTCTGTAGATGTTCATTGAAATGAAAAATAAATTAAAAACAAAACAAAACACAGACCAGACAATGGATCCTGGTAAGGCTCTGGGCCTGATCATCAAAGCCCAAACCTAATTAAAAGCCCCAAATTCAGAGAAAAACACCATCTTCCCTAGTCCTCTCTAAAAACCTCTATAACGCAAACTGCTCAACTGCTCTGGCACCATTTTTACCTTCTCTGCTCATAGTCCCTTGGCATCCCTCTCAAATGCAATAAAGCCTATTCATTTCTTGGGATCATTTTTTCTCTCATCCTCAACTTTTTCTATATAACATATCCAAGGACACTTATTTTTCTGGTCCCTGAGATAACTATTTGCTGTATAGCAAGAAGTCTAGCTATTCTGACAGTAATGGAATGCCTGTTATTTTCTATATATGCTGAGAAAAATAAACATTCAGAGCCTGGGCTTTTGCCTCGGTCCCCTGTGCCTGCCTATTTTTCTTCTACAGTCTTCAGGTTCCCAGCTAGGAAAACAGATACATGTATTAAGTTACTTAGGAGCCCTCAGTTGCTCAGTCTGGCAGGCTTGAAAATCCTAGAGTGCAAACCTACCATGAGTAACATATAGATTGTGATTGCCTTGCATTATAACTGATTCAACTATTAAGTAGTACTTACAGTACAAGTACTAAGCTAATTGTTCTTTATTGATACCAGAAGACATACTGCTGGCTGATAGAACTTGAAACATTTGCTGCAAAAGACCAAAGACTATGGCCTTCAAAATATGGATTACATCTCATCATCAAGGAGGACAAAAATCCTAACCTCTGGACAGGCAACATGATAGATGGAGAAAAATGTTTGCCTTTTTCTTAGAGCCTTAAGACCAGCAGTTGGATACATTGCCTTAGGAAAGTAGGCCATCAGGGACCTCCCCAAAGTCCTCAAGACCAAGATGCACCCAATTCAAGACATGATCTTGCCAATTACTTGCTATCCACCTCAAAGTTCCACAATGACCAAGGATGACAGAAGAAATGAAGCTTTTCCACTGTGTTGGAGAACAGTACTGCATATTCTGTGTACTGACAAGAAAACAAGTATGTCTTAATGTGCAGCCAGGAGGGTAAGGATGGGGAAGCTTTATCTCATGTCTTTTGGGCAAATCTTAAATTAATTTTACAAGGAAAGGGTTTAGATCCACTGTTTATAGTACTTTTTCCCCCTCAGACTACAACAAAGGACGTTATTCCTATATGCATACATCCTCCACTCAACTATCTGCTTAGTCTTATTGCTGAATAAGCAATGCTGACTTAGAAAGACAGCAAACTTCCCACTTGAGAGTAGTCTGCCTTAGCTAGTAAGACATGATATCTGAAGTTCCCATCTTCATCAACCTGGCAAAAACTAGATTTTTTGGAGGGAGGAAAATGTGTATTTGGGACCTGGTCCAAGTAGAAATTAAGGGGGCCATTTAAAGGAACAAAATCTTAACCATGAAGGTATTTTACCTGTACTCACCATTCTTCAGGATTTAAGTGTACTCAAATTAATCCTAACTTTGAAATGAAATTAAGGAAACAGCACTGTCAATCTGTTTTCATATTTAATCTTTTTAATAGGCTCCATGCAGGACATCTTTAACACATGAAACACAACAGGATATTTTTTTTTCTTCCAGTATTAAAAAAAGACATTCAAAACATTTTTTTAAGCTCTTCTATATAATTAGGGTGGTGATTTCATACTAGAGTAGGGGAAAAAAAACCAAAACCATCTTTAAAAAAACACATTCTTGATGTCCACTTCTAGTTTTATATATTTTAAAAATTGTTTTCTAACCATGATAATGAAATAATCTTACATAAACTATATGTCTCTAGATAGTAATTTTTTTAAAGCCTGGGCAAGTTGTTTTTGGTTTTTTCCAAAAAAATTTGAGTGCTCAAACTAAAAAAAACAAAAACAAAAAAAAAACCAACCAAACAAAAAAATACTCTACAAAACTGGTAAAGGAAAAATACTCAGAATTTACAAATATCACAAAATTTGTCTCTAAATGGAAGAAAAAGGTTTAAAAATCCTATGGCATTTATGAAAAGGGTTTAACAGGCTACTCTGGGAGCTCAATTTAAAAATAGAAGTTGATGTACTAAAACAAATATTTCAGTGTGGCTCCAAAAATCTTTTATAAATACAGCCATCTGGAAGGACGATCCTGATCAGAAGAATCTTTATTCCTTGTGTATCTAAGAATAAGGAGGGAAATTGTGATGTCAGGAAGGGACAGACTGACAGCATGCTTAGTCTTCTAAGGTTGTCAAAGATTCTGAAAGCTGCACAAGATCCTCCCTTGATCTCTTCCATGCCCAGCAAAAAATTATTTTCAGAGCCCTCTCTCTTCCCCGATTGATAACCATCTCCAAAAGTAAGAAGCAGAGCAGTAGAGGTAGAGTTAAGCAGGCTGGCTGGGAGGGCAGTAGAATACTGAGGCAAGGATAAAATATGAGAGTATCATCCCAAGAATGAACACAGGTCGGCTCATGCAAAGAACATACAAGTCTCACCTGCATTATAAATGCATGCCTCATCTCAGTTGTCGTAATTATCTCTGTAATTTCCTCCAGAGTAACGGTCATAACCACCCTGGTTTCTAGAGCAGAAACAAAACAAAACCATACATAATTGTGCTGCACAAATATACCTTTTTTCTAACTTGTGGGTTTTTAAATTAATTTTAATGAAAGGTTACAGAGACTTAGGGGTTTCCAGTAATTCATTGTTGTACTTTTCTCCCTGCCCACCCCTCCCCCCAACAAATATATATACTCTTAACATTAAAATCTATCCTATATATTTGGCGCTCTGGTGGCCCAGTGATAAGAAACTGCACTGCAATCTCAAAACCATGGAGTTCAAATCCACCAGCTGCTCCACGGGAGAAGGATGGTCAAACATACTAGAAGGTCAACTAGGGGTTGGTTCCAACTTGACCACACACAACAGGTATTATTTGAAGGAGCTCTGGGGATATAGTGGCTAAAGCACCAAACTGTTGCTATTGTTGTACATACCTAGAATTCCTTCGCTATGTTATTAGGTTCATGATTCACTATCCACCACACAGAAGAACACTAAAGTCTGTTTCTGGAAAAGGATTCACAGCATTGGAAACCCTACAACGAAGTTCTACTCTGTTCTGTAAGATAGCCACAAGTCAGAACTGACTTGGTAGTTGTCATAGGTTATGTATACTTTTCAACAGTGTAACATCATAACCATTAACATGACAGACTGTAACAGTTTACATACAACCTCAACCATCATTATATAAACACAAGTTATAATTAACACACTATATCAACACATAAAACAATCGCAGTTGTGTAATTCAAAACATTGCACAACTGCTTAGTATTTTATTATATATAAAGTATATACTAATTATATATTAGTAAAAGGCAGTAGTAACAAGTGAGCAAATTTTTCCATGTATTTACACATTTAAGTCATAATTTTATCACCAATAGCCTAACCATTATTGACCATTTCCATTGTACAGTTCAACTCACTCTACTCATATTTTATGAGATTAGTATTTCCATTTGAGACCCAAGCAACTTGCCAACTTTCCACAGTTTGGATAGAACAGACACTTTTTTAAACTTGTGCCACTGAATCAGATCCAACTGGCACAAGAAGAGATTGCCCCTCCTTCTCCAGCGGAGCATCTGGTGGGTTCAAACCGCACACCTTCAGGACTGAAGTGCAAATTCTTGCCACGAGGCCACCACAGCTCCCACAGAATAGACACTTTTGTGTCTATTTGTTGACTTCAGTGTGAATCTCATAACTTGCTACTTTAGAATGACTGAAAATTCATATGATATAGTACAATCACTGGGAGAGTGTGCTTTAAGACAAGTGACACAGCTCTTAAGAAAAAGGAAACCACCACCAGAGCATGCCAAACACCTTGGCCACTACCTACCTGCCACCATAGTCTCTGGACCTTCCATAACCATATCCATACCCTCCAGGTCGGCTATCATATCTGCTGCTCCCATACCCTTGGTCCCCACCACCTGCAGCAGATAAGAAACATTTGATGGTAGTTGTTAGACAAAGACCAGTCTCTCTCACTCCTGCTCAAACTTACCTCTAGAGTAGCTGCGACCACGCCCATGGGTACCAAAGGCACCCCCTCTGGTTCCCCGAGCTGACTTGCCTGCATGATCTACACGGATCTGACGACCATCCAGGGACTAGGTGTGGAAGGGAGACACAAGGAGTACAGGTTGGCAATCAGGGCAATGACAGGGGACGAATGGGCAGGGCTAGATGGGCAAAGGAGCCCAAAAATTCTTGTTATGCACCAAGTTCTGGGTACCACATTCCAGAACAAGCTCCTTTGACCAGAATGGCTTTACCAGGAGCTACCAAACTCCCACAAAAATTACCTGAATTCACCATGTTTCCCCCTGCTACTACTTACATCTTGACTGAACTCAGGTTGAGTTCTCCTCCCCACTCCTCTAAGCTGCCCAACTATTAGGGCTAGATTGACACCTCTCTTGGTTTGAGGCTTCAGAGTCCATCCCAGAAGACTCACGAGGTCCTCTCCGGGTCAGGCCCACAGGTCTGCAGACTCTACTACCTAAGCCCAGGGCAGGTCAACCATCCACAGGTGGCTTCTCGGCCTCATGCAGGACCAGTCGTCGCCTCCCAAGCAGCCCGGTTCTGTCTGCCGCTGCCCTCCACCCCCTAGAACAGAAGGTAGTCACGCTCCTGTGAGTGGGCACTGTGGGGCCTGTTGGCCATGTTGCCCCTAGCAGATGGGGGGGGGGCACAAAAGAATAGAGGAGCTGGCAGATGGGGGCACAGCCCCTCTGCAGGTAGGAGACCTCACCTCTCCATTCATGGCTCGCATGGCATCTGAAGCATGTTCTGGATTGGCGAAAGTGATAAAACCAAAACCCCGAGATCGCTGAGTCTCTCGGTCCTTCACCACCACCACTGGGTAAAAAAAGGGAGATGGGGAAATGTGAAACCATCAGCAACAGAAAGGAGGAAGCAAGGAGGAGTCTGAAAAAGGAATCCCTCCTATCCATCCTGAAGAGGATTAATTTCCCCCTAGCCTGAGAAACATACATCTTAAGCCTAATATAAGAAAATTTGATGGTGCAGAGAATTAAAGCACTTTAAGTTCAGGGGCCCTAGATTTCCTTCAACTCATTCTTTATAGTGGATCTAATACCTGTTTCTATTGTTCATGGGGTTCTCCAAGGCCTCTTATTTCAGAAGTGGATGGCTAATCTTGCACCCAACAACAGTCTCGTTTAAGTATTAGAGTTAACAAACCCCATCTTAGCCCATGAGTCAATTCATTTCTCATAAATGTCTTGCTTCGCTTAAGTAGGTTATTTAGTGTAGCTCAATATGCTGCTTGATTGAATATACAGAGAGCAAAGTAAGGCGTTCTGTGAAACCACAAGGCAGGGGATTTCATGCCTGTTAACCTCTTAGGATGCTCTCTGCTTCTGTAAATTGCTTTTACTCTTCAGAGAACGGTCAGCATGTTCCAGAACAGAGTATAACTGTAACCCACCTCTGTTTGCGGTTTTTCACTTTATAAGGCTTGAGCATGAAATCATTCTGGGTCCTTTGGAACATGAGCTCACCCTCGGCCGCCAGCTAATAAAAGGAGTGTGTGGAGCCTCATAGAGCCTAAGCTGGGTATAACATCTGTCTCACCTTCAGCGATAGGCCCAAAGCTACTGAAGTGATCTTCCAAGGCTTGTTCATCCGTGTTGAAATTGAGCCCTCCCACGAAAAGTTTGCCTTCTTCTGAGGACATGGCAGTTAATTTCAGTCCTGTGGAACAAAAAGGTAGAAGAGTGGAGGCGGAAGATGGGTGGAAAAGTAGTTAAATTACGCCGCCATTTGAGGAGGAAGTCGCGCATGCTCACATTTCCCCAGACGCCACACCCGTCATTTTGTGCAGCCACGCCACGCAAGCCCCCTAACATCCCTGGGTTCCCTCAGCGCCCAAAGAACAAGATGGCGGTGGTCACGTGGGAGGAGGAGTACATCTCTGCTTTTGTGTGGTCTCTACTACTACCGATGCCTTAAGCTGCTTTCGCATTGGATACCCTGCGACTGACTCTCATCTAGCTAAGTATTGCAGCTACGATTATGGGGCCTGTTCTAGAAAAGCCCAAGCCAACGTGTAACAGCCTCTGCTCTCCTCAAGCGTACCTGCGCTCTCTCCAGACACCAGTGAGTAAGGAGCATCTGCTTTGTAGGCCATGCACTGCTTACCTGGAAATTTAAAAATTTAACAGCTTGGAGACACGACCAACACCAAAGAGCAGAAAAAAATGAGACAGCTGCGGCCAGGGAAGACGCTTGATAAAGCTTACGTATACTGCCCACCCCACCCCCGCGTCATGAAACGTCCCTGACACGTGCTAGCGTGTTCATTTATTGGCTGAGGCCAGCAGAGATGGGCGGTGGCAAGGAAGGAGGAAGGGGAGGCAGAGCAAAAGGAGCATTCGACTCTTCCTGAGAATAGGGATGATTTGTGAGCATCTAGTGCAACTTAACATCATCATCCTTCCCATACAGGAACTTGATAGATTTCACAGTTCAGATCCCATACCGCTTCCTTGACATCATCCTCAGTGTTCTTTACATCATCTCCTATTTGATTCGAATATCCTCCTCACCATCATGGTTTTTAATCTTTTTGGTCCCTGATGACAGTTATAACGTCTTTTGATACTCCTTCAGGTCTACTTTCTTAACCTTATACCCCTCAAGGGCCTGCTACTTGATCCTTCAGTGGCAGCATAGTGCACCAAAAGATAAGCAGTTAGAATTTACCAATGGGACTCCAAGAGCAAGATGGTCAGTCTCCTCCCATAAAGCTTTACAGCTTCCCAAACTGATAGAGAATTGTTGACATTCACTAACTTGCCGAGGGTTTAGTTTTTGGTTTCTCCCTGAAATAAAGAGCCCTGGTGGCAAGGTGGTTAAAGTGCTGGGCTGCCAATTAACTGAAAGATGGATGGTTTAAACTCACCATCTGCTCTGACAAAGAAAGATGTGGCAGTCTGCTTCCACAGATTATAGCTTTAGAAATCGAAACCCTGTGGGACAGTTCTGCTCTGTCTTTACAGAGTTAGCAGTAGTAGGAATCAACAGCTCATGAAGTCCCTAGCATCAGACCATCCACTACTCCCTACATTTTCTTCTGTGCCCAACACATAATCTCCTGTCATGGAATCCTGATTTCCTTTCTGATTTCAGCCATCATACTCTGTCTCCTGAAGTAAGTTTAAGATTTCCCTGCCAGTAAGTAGACTGTGAAATACAGTATACAAAACAGATGTTCCAGTCTTCAAAGGGTGTATAGCCCAATCTATTGAATAATTTTTACTGTCACTCTGGGTAACTGAGTCCTTGATCCACAGAAAGAACTTTCACAAAACACAATGGGCTTATTCAAACCACGGTGTGTCTGAGCCTTCTGTCTACATTTTGGTCTTGTCCAGACTGCAGTATCTGAATTGTTCTTTGTTGTTGTTGTTGTTGTTGTTATGTGCCGTCAAGTCGTTTACGACTTATAGCCACCCTATATGTACAACAGCCCTAAACCCTCCTCTATCCTGTGCCAATCGCATTGCCTCTGACACACCCATTCCGATTACCCCAGT